AAACACCACTATACTTGTTCATTCTCCTCACCACCACGGTGCTCACTGCGCTTTCCTGATTGATGCTTGTCGCGAGGAAGAGCCGTATCATTGAAGGTGAATTAAGAATGCACAGAGGTTGGTTGTTTCCGGCCCAAAGAGTGACAGTTGCTACACAAATAATCCATGGACTCTGGAAAGGAGAGGATAAGATTACACAGGGTTAAATTGAAATGAATCATTCTGGACAGCAAGATTAAAAGATCATTTCAAATCAATGAGTGATTAACAGAAGTGAGCATGTACAACCCAGGCTCAATGGAAAGCACTGCTCCGCGCCCAGTCTCGGAGGATGACAATATCTGCCAGCAAGACACTGCTCAAATCTCATGCACAGAATGCTTTGATTAATATTAATAGCTAAAGCACATTCCACATCTGTCTGGCTCGCTCGCACTTACCGTCTACATTTCTCTCCTCTTGTTTTGTCTGAGGTGTGAGTCCGTGAGTGGAATTCTCACCAAGTAACAAGCCAAAAAAGACTGACAGGAAATCAGAGAAACTCAACAAACAAGGTGGTGACAGTTCTAATGTCTCTAAAGGCTCTAAATGTTTCTATTGACTGATATTCAAAGTACTGATTTGTGTGAATGCATGCAACAAGGGACATATCAGTATGTTACTGTGTTCAGTGCATGGTACAAAACGATTATGTAGAAATGTTAGTGGGGCTTGGCGATGTGCCAAAAGAAAATCAAACAATTTTCATTTCGGTTTTTATTTTGTCTTTCAGTAATTGTAAAAAAAAAAAAAAAAAAAAAAAAAAAAAAAGTCTAATTTCTTCATCCAAAGTCTGAACTTTGGATGATTAAAAACACCCAAGCATATCATTGACAGCTACAAAAGATTGATTCTCAATTTTGGTTAAAATTGCTTTCTCTCACAAAATTTGTTAATAACAATATAAATTATTTTAATTTTAAGCTAACATCACTAAAATAAAGCAAAAACAAAGATGAGAGAAAGAATTTAAAAAAGCATAAATAACTCACATTTCACAATAATACAGCTACATTCTTGATGATATTTGATGATATTGTGGCATTATAACATATGTGTACCAGACAGTGGATCTGCAAAAATAAAGAAAAGTATTTGTTTGAAGTGATGAGGCTTGAATTCATGTGGGTTTAAACTCTTCAGGGCCGTACTTGGCTTTGTGTCTAAACCTGAAAGCAGCACTATGAAATTCACTATAAGCAGAAATGGTGAAGTAGAAGTTGCAGTTCCATTGAGGTCAGACTACCAAACTTTCATGTATTCCTTTAGTTTATATAAATCATAAAACTCCACACAGCACTAGTTGAAGAAAAAGGAAATAACCCTTGTGTACAGAAGGCAAGAGGAGCTGAACAGAAATATGGTTTTGTGTTATTCCTCGGCTTACTCGCTCCAAACAGAAAATCTATAAAGAAACGTGCCTGTTCTCTGTATTTTAAGTTGTGAAACATTTTTTTATTCTCTGCAGCCTTCAAAGACAGAAAGCATGTAATGAAATACATACAACTGCACTTAATGAAATCAAAAGAAAGACAACAGAGAGGCTAAGAATAAAGTGATTTTAACATCAGTATTAATCAAATAAAAATGTACCATTTAAAAATAAGTATCAGTAATCATGTGTCCATTAAAAGTGCACTTTGTAACTTTTCTGGTTGAGAGCCTGTCACCTGCTTCTCTTCATGGTGATATTGACTTGAATATTCCACAGCATGACATTATACTTATTTATCTCCGTGGAAACAGCAGGTGACAACACAGGGCCAAGTTGCATGTCAGATCTGTGGAGAGGCGAGCCCACACACTGTAAGAATGCTAGTTTTTAGGTCAATAAAAATCCATGTTATTGAATAAATGCAAGATGAATGTGTTTAATCCCACACCGGGACAATCCAGACAAAACAATAACATCTCCATGGAGACAAGCCACCACTGGAAAAGTTAAACAGTGCACCTTTAAGTTGAAAGAAATAACATGAGAACTCAAACTACACTTTTGACCTATGAACAAATCTCAACAGCTGGAGTTTATGTACTGGTAATACAAATGTAACAATGGCACCATTTAGAGAGTTTTTCCTGAGAATAGACAATAGAGCGCAGGGTAAATGTTCACATCTGCTTACGCTTTGCAGAGGAATGTATGATCTGACTCTAAAATCCTTCAGCTATGAAAACAGTTTATTGTAGTAAATATGGTAGACTTATTGTGTCTCACCAGCACAAGTTCAGCTGATAATGTGGCTATGGTTCATATGACAGCAGGGAGGAGGGTGGCCTTTCTAAGAAAAGATTGAATGCACTGATGTCATTTTGTAAAGCTATTCTGATTTACCTTAATTTAATATTTAAATCATATTGTTTTCTTACTTACTTACTTACATACAGATATTTTGGACACTTGCTATAGTGTGTTTTTACATCCTTGTCATGAAGCAAACTAAACACAAATATTCTACATGTTCTTTTGGCAGTAGTTTCTATTTTATCATTTCAACATTTATTTATGGGTGTGACTGACAACATATGCATGGCATAATCATATACATAAATTGAGTTTAAATCATCTCATTGTTAAAGCTTGATTAAAATAATATCACCTTTTCACCTTTTGAGGAAGAAAGTTTTCTAGTCAGTATTTCTGCAGGTTTCATTTAAATGTTCCTTCTGCAGTTCCAGAGATTCATCTGTAGAACATAGAGCCTCAGTATTGATTTATTGTCTGCTGCTACAAATCTTCCAAATGTAGAGAGCAGAAGTTTCCATGCAGATGATCTTTAAAGCCCAATGTATTAACCCCAGCTTAATTAGTAAACAGATTAAGTTAGTTAATCACAGGTGAAAAAAGCATTTAGCATTTAACACAGAGCTGGACTATCACGAGATTTCCCCCTCAGGAGCGCGCTGAGAGCTGAAGGAGACGTGCAGGTGGCCAAATGAATTGAATCACTTGTACCTTCCTTTTTCTACATGTGTACATAAACCGCCATTAGCTAGTCTAGCCTTTTATGCAAATGTACATTTAAAACTGCCTGTGTTGTCTTGTAATGACTCTGTATTGCTACATTTAATCAGACACACACAGTTGAAGCAGACACGTTAGCGACTAGTCACCCGGAGGGAATGTGCCCTGAAAATCAAGAGACATTAACCAATTAGTGCTGATCAATAGTGCACACCACACTGGGAAGAGCCACGCTACAGCAGCACAGCTAACATGTGTATGTGTGTATGAATGTGTGCGTCTGTGTGTGTGTGTGTCTGTAGGCCAATGGGCAGACCGGGTATAGCACTGTCTCTCTAAGCAGCAGGAACCTCTCAGCCAATCAAAATGCTGCCAGAATCCTTGACATTCTTGCGCCGTCCAATGCAAAAGTGGCTTCCCCGCTGTAGCCAGGCAGAACTGAGTCCGCTCTAGGAAATAAACGGGAGAGATGAAAAGATAACACAGAGCGAGGGAGCGCGAGGGGAGGAAGAGGGGATGTGTTAGGCTGTGAAAGCAGGTGTCATAATGGGGCACAGAGGCTGGTAGGTAATCGCACTGAGAAAAGCACAGAGCATGACAGCCAACCTTTAATTCCCCATGAGAGCTTGTATGCCTTCAGTTGTCTCTATGGAAAAAAAATATTTGATTGAAAACGCTAAAAGATGAGGCTAGAGGATGGGATTTGGTTAAAAATGCAAAAGCAGGACATTTGAAAGTCTAGTTCTTGCATGCGTGCCTCACTTGTACATCAACACACACACACACACAACCAATGTTAAGCTACAGAGATCATAGCAGCGGTACCTCTGTGCCTGCCACTACTACTCTGTATTCTAGTTGAGCAGTGCAAATATCAGCATGGAGCTTGGGATGTATAGGGATTGAGACAAAAGGAAAAAAGAAAGGAAGAGATATTACACCTATCCGGGGGAGTGTTCAGTGGAGCAGGCATTATGAGAGTGTAAATTACCTCCCCTCCTTCTCCCTTTGGGCTGCTGACTGCTGGATGGATATAATCACACGCACACAGGCACACACACACACACACACACACACATAAGTACACACACGCACGCACACACGCTGCTCAGTCTGTGGACACCAGCAGAATATTGAGCCCAACTGTCATAATGTTTGTATGTTTATATTCAAGAATGGCTCCAATCATGTATGGATTTGGCATCAGCTTCACGACCTGCTCCATTGTGTAAAAATCGACACCTTACACATTTGTCTCAACCCGGGAGTAAATCGAAGGTGATTTAGTGGGTCTTGTAAAACGCCGGCCTTTAAGTGATAGAGGAAGATGTTGAAGAATTTAGATGGATGAGAGAAGCCTTTGCAGTTGAGTTCTAAAATAAATGTTCTTAGCATTAGTGTCGCATTAATTATGGCAGTGATTTCCAATGTGAGAGAGAGTCACTAAGGGTCCCCATAACTTCCTTTTTAAGACGTCCAAACTTAAGCACCAGTATTATGAAGAGATGAGATTTAAAATGGGTACTATAAAATGCATTTCTTGTGATTGCTTTACCTTAATATCTTCATTGGTATTCATTAAAAATATGCTTAAGTTTCAGGTAGTTAGAGAGGGTTGTTTGGAGCACAGATGACAACAGGTAAAATTGGAATTGCTGAGAGAAAAATGTGAAACCGCTGAGAGAAAGATGTGAAATCCTGAGCCTAAAAACATACTAATATATATGATAAATAATGTGATAGCCTGAGTTTGCTAATGGAAAGATTAGAGTAACTGATCAGTCTTCTTTACTGTGAAGTGAGTGCAGTGACAGGCACACATGTAAGAGCTATAGGTCGGCCCTTGCCAAATTGAAGGACATCAGCTTGAGTCAAGGCTCATTACATCTTTACATTAGGCCTTGATTTAAAAAGAACAGATCTAATTTTCTACTGGCTGTGTTGTACATCTCAATTCACCTGAGCCTATTGTGCCTGTTTTCTGTTTCTCCATCAGGGCCGGTGTTCCCGAGAGAACTGCAAGTACCTGCACCCTCCACCGCATCTAAAGACACAGCTGGAAATCAATGGAAGGAACAATCTCATCCAACAGAAAAACATGGCGATGCTGGCCCAGCAAATGCAGCTGGCCAATGCCATGATGCCGGGCACACAGCTCCAGCCAGTGGTGAGAGCACTCGCCGAGCTCACTGTCCACGCAGGCAGCACCAGCACTCAAACCAGGGTCACAGGGGGCACAGAATTACTGCGATAAAAGCTTTTAAGGATAATATGGTCAATTAAGGAAAGTCATATTTTTAGTTTGACCCACTTTGAGTCATTTTCCAGACTGCTCTTTTCAAGCGCTAAATTTATAAACCTTGCTGGATAATTAATACATTATATGTGACCAGCCTTATTCTTTTAATTGAAAGTCAAATTTTCATACTTTGTTATTTTGTTATGAATTCACTGTTGTGATGAAAGATTTGGGTAAACATGGTGCTGACAGACAGAGAGGGATGGGGATGAAGTGAGATACAGCTACATAAATTACCATGAGTCTTTCCACATTCCTTACACACTAGACCATTATAAACCTGACTGGATTGCTTGTAATGCTAATATGTAAAAGTTTGGCTGTCCTGCTTTAAATGAGGTTTCTTGGCATATGGTCATTAAAATCAATCTTAGGAGCAAACACGACTCTGTCAAGATTGGACATATTCAATAACACAATGCCAAATGACAGAATAGACTGCACACTTCATATCATATCAATTATAATGGATAAATATTAGCATTGTCATATAGGACGACAAATTGCCTGGCAATTTAAAACAGTGTTTTCCAACCAGGGGAACAGAGACCGCTTGCCAGGGGATATTATGGATTAGAGTAATGTGGAATTGAACAGAATTTGAATATAAAATGTTCTTTGTAGCATATTTCATTTATATATTTATATACATTTTTGCATAACAATTTTGGCATTGGTAAAATAAACCGTAAATAAACCTCAAATGCAATAGTCATAATGGGCAATAAACTAGTAAACAGATTAATCATTACTAAGGAAACACGGGAAATAGGTGTATATTGTGTGTATATTCTGTATATATAGTGTGTGAGACAACACTTAGAGGGCACTCAAGACTAAACATGTTGGGAACCACTGATTTAACAATGTTAGTATCATAACAACAAATCTCATCTCCACGGGTTTCACAATGATGAAAAAATGACGACCATTCCTATCGCAATTAACATTTAAAACAAAATATCCTATCCTAGATCCTCAGCTCCAGGCAGCCCATTCAAGTGCATCATCCTGTGGCGACCATGATCCCTTTCACAATCAATGAGCGCTGTCAGTCAGGCCTGGGGAGATGCTGCTGTCTTCTCCTTTGCTCTTTTATGCTAAAGTGACTGCCTGAGAGTGAATTTGTCTGTGCCTATTCAAAAGAGTTAAAGATGTTTCATGCTTGGACACCCACACGTGCTCATACATGGTCAGCTGATGGCTTATCACCCTTTCCTGCTGCAAAAGGGCTTCAGTGGAAAAGCCCATTGAGAAGAAAGAACCATGAAAGGATTTAGAGAAGCAATAGATCTCCCTGGGACCGCCAAGCCCTCACTCTGTTTATGCTGCTGCAGGAACAGAAAATCAGGTGACAGAGAAGGACGAAGCCCAAGAAGAAAGAGGCAGGCGAAGGAGGAGGGAGGATGAATGGACAGAGCAACGACAGGCAGGTAAAGAGTGGGAGACAGGAGCTCGCTTCAGACTCACTACAAAGAGAGTCAAGACAACAGGAGTGTGAACCAAACACGGGCTAAGTCCAGAAGAGGACACTTCCAGGAACTATTGGAGCTGAGATCTCTTCCTCTATCTGTCTCTTGAGTGTTAGCTTAGCTTCCTGCCCTGTTCACTACTTTTTATCTGCCACTCTCCCACGTTTTCTGCTGTCCTATCATGTGTATAGGGGAGTGCTTTCATTTCACACTTTGCGAAGGGTGGACACATCCTGGAATATTATAGCTGTCTATAACTTAAAGTAGCTATAACTACATATCTCAGGTCAGGAAGAAAATAAGCCAGCTGGAGTTATAATGTCTGTTAGCTTCAGCACTTACATATACAATAAAAAATCTTCATCAGTGTTAAATCAGTGCACTTCTTTATGCAGAGACTGGGTACAAAGACGAATGGTGAAATATAACCATAAAGTCAACAGGCTGCGGACATTCCAGCTGTGCCACACTTCTAAAAGAGTGTGGCTCCATGTTTGGGCAAATGGCTCAAGGGTGATTTCACTGAACTAAAAGAAGATGGAAGTCTGTATGAGTATCCACTAAAGATATGTCTCACGCAAACTGTTTAAGGCCATAAATATTCAGGTTTTGTTCTTTATCGTGAGGCATTTTCTTCAAATGTTTGTGAACACTATATACATGAACATATTATTTGTTTAGCAAAATAATGAGACATGGGCGGCAGTAGCTCAGTTGGTAGAGCATTTGCCCACTGATCTAAAGGTTGGTGGTTTGAATCCAGCTCTCAACATAAACATCACAGGTTGAGTGGTCAGACCCACTGACCCACAGGTTGGCTGGTGTGATTCCAGCTCCCACAGATGAATGCTGTTGTTGTGTCCTTGGGCAAGACACTTAACCCACCTTGCCCACAGTGTCTGCATACACTGGTGTGTGAATGGGTAAGTGGTTCCTTGTTGTAAAGCACTTTGAGTGCCTTGAAGGTGGAAAAGCGCTATAGAAAAATGTGACCATTTACCATGGTTCTATTTCTGGTCATAATTTTATGTACTTTGAGAATTACAGGTACATTATGTAGTTTTCTTATGGAAGCCCCCAAACTTTCTTTTCTCCATGAATAGTTATTGTTTTGCCAGGAATGTTCCACACAATGGTATACAACATATAATCTCCACTGGGATAAGCTGGGGCCACCACCAAAAATATTTTGATATGATTAACTACATGTAAGATGATTAAATGTACATCAGACTGTGGAACATTATAGAGAAAGCAATAACATATCTCCGAGACACGCAGATGATAGACCCTCTCCCAGAACACTTTAAGTTGCTTGTGCAGGCATCTTCGCAACCTGCAAGACCAGGGCATATTTCTTAATAATAAATGAAGAAAAGTTAGAAGTTTTCTATGTGAAAACAATCTAATAACCACACAGTCAAACTGACCTCTAGTTCATATGTGGCTTATGTAATGTTGTGCTGAAAGAAAAGAAGACACTTAGTTTTTTGATAAAAAATGTTTTTGACATAATGCTATTACTCTTGAAGATAACCAAATTAGATACTGACCCACACTGACTGTACCATGTAGCCCAGTATCACATTTCTTTGTGAAGATCTGTAATACCACTTTCCATGTCTTAGCATATGACATCATTCCTTTCTTTAAGCCCAGTCTCTTCAATGACCTCATGCCTGTTCCATCTAATCCTCCTGCTCTGAATATTGTAAACTGATACATGAGCACCTTTAGCATATTTTTTTCTATAGGTCTTTGTGATAGGTCCATAGGCGACTACTAGACGGAAAAGCCTTTTTGACATTTCTCCACAATTTTCCAAAAGATTTTAGGAAGAGTGGATCTGTCCAGCCCTGGCTGCTCTATTACTCACTGTGTCCTATTGGCAGTGACCCAAGAGACTACCCCCAGACCAGTGCTGAGGTCAGGAACGTGTAAGGGAAAACTTAAGAGTGTGCTACATCAGCGAGCTCACTCCTTAGCTTCGGAAAAAAGAGAATAGTTTTTTCTTTCATTCTCGATGCAGTTTATGGGAGTATTGTGCCAGTGCAGTGCATAGTTCAGGCCATACGCAGCACACACAGCTTGACTTCCTCACTCTCTCATTTCTCCTGTGATCTCCGGTGTGTGAAATGCGGGATTGTATGTGAACTGCATGTGGAGAAGGTGACACCCCATGCTGAGTACAGAGATCATACAGCTCTAGCCACAGCGAATAAAAGACAAAGAAGACTTCATATATACAGCGACTAATTATGATCTGACGTTTGTACTTTAAAATGAGTAAATCTTTGATATTTTATGCCATATATGATTACACTGCACCTCAATAGTCTGGGTATTTACAGCCATAGACCCTTCAAACCTCAATTTCAGAAACAAAATATTTGAACCAAAACACACACCAAATTCAAATGTCATTTTTAAAGCTATTGAATAACAAGTGAAGGCACCACTTTATAATAAACACATGAACTGACCGTTTGTAAAGCAAGGTCAAAGGCTTCAAATACTTCAAAATTAGCTCATACTTTGTTAAGAAAGTGTGAAAAAACATTAGCTACTAACTACCTAAATAAGATATTAGTTAGGCTTCAGGGCATTAATTAAGTAGTTAATAAGACTGAATCCTTGTCTATTAGTTCATCTTTGTTCATGCTTTATTAAGGCTAATTAAATTATAGTATAAAGTGTTATCAAAGTGAAAACATGTTAGTGACCCTTTCCACCTGCTTGTGCCCACAGCCCATGTTCTCAGTCACACCCAGCCTTGCCACCAACGCCAACGCTGCTGCAGCCGCGGCCGCCGCATTTAACCCGTACCTGGGTCCAGTGTCGCCCGGTCTGATGCCCGCTGACATCCTGCCCAGTGCTCCTGTCCTGGTCACCAGCAACCCCAGTGTCCCCGTGCCCGCTGCCGCTGCTGCTGCTGCTCAGAAACTCATGAGGACAGATAGACTAGAGGTGAGACACACACAGCACTGCTCTTTACTCAGTCTAGGAATTAGCATAAACATTTTGTCACTTTAATATCAGTCGTAGATTAGAGACTAGATTAACAAAATTCCCAAGTATGCAATAACAGCGTCTGTGCAAAGAGATAAGCTTTGAAAAGTGTGGCGTGCCTACTTGAATATTAAAAGCATGAGTTTGCGAAGCTTGTCTCGACAGTATGTGTGACTTTAATTATGTATCCACACACTCTTTCTGTTACAGTAACTACATCCCATTACCATAATACAGTCATTACTGGGGCTTAAGCAAAGAGGAACAGACAGTAATGAGAGTATCTCATGCAAACACTTGTGTTGTCAATGCTGCGTTGCATCAACACACGAGAGATGACATTATTCGCCACGAGCTTGTGTGTTATACTCTATCAATTTGTAATTTTCTGAAAAATCTTTATTCTTCCATGAAAGCGATCAGTCATGTGAAACAGGACGAGCGCTGCGGTCCACTAGCCGTGTTCAGAAAATCATTAATTGGGCAGTAAGTCAATCTCATCCATTATGCAGCCCCACCCGGGAAACTGTTGCAAGCAAATAATGCGGAAATCGTTAGACAGCGGGCGAGCAGTTAGAGAGAGTTAGCAAGGTTAGGTATTAAATGTAAAGTTAGGCAGTGCTGAGATAAATTATAGAGGTGAGACTTAGGAAGTCTCTGGTACGATAAACAAGTGGACAACAACATGCCGAGTCAGGGAACAGGTCAATGACAGGAAAAAGAGACGGCAGGGGAGATAGGAAATCAATCTGGAGACCTAATGTGGCCATCTTGGGCAGGGCAGCGGAAGGACAGAAATAGATGATAATAACAAAGTAGATAGGGCATTTAGAGAAATATTGGAATGTATGGTGACAGGATTTGAAAACATGACTATTTGGATAAGCTCATAATAGATAAAAACACCTGATAAGAACTGGGTGACAATTATAGTGTATAGTAGAATATAGTAGAATAGTGTATATAGAAAATGCATTGAAATGACCAATGTCTTAAAACATATATAAATAAATAAATAAATAAATATATATATATATATATATATATATATATATATATATATATATATATATATATATATATATATATATATATATATATATATATATATATATATATATATACAATTGCATATACAATACAGGCAGTTCTATAGGAATACTGAACATATGGTATTCACTGGCCAAATACAACAACTTTGACAGATACCGTATCAAATCCAACTAAGAAACCACTTAAAAGAGACAAGTTTATAGCATGCCACTCAAGAAAAACATAGCTGAAATTCTATGGAGCAGCAGACATACCAACTAGTAGATACCGTATATAACAGATTATTTATTTCCTGGGGCTGAGAAAACTCCTATTTTAGAACACCATTTTTCTCACACTTTTTACTTTGTGTCTGAACTGAGATACAGCCATACTGCAGTAGTTTTTTTCTACCTTGTGTAAAGTCATATGTTGCTTACCTGAAACCATGGAGATGCACACGGCCACAAGGGACAGTTACCATGGGGACCGAAATATGATTAACGGGCTTATCTGTTTGTCCAGCTAAGCACTTTCACTTGTTTAGCTGTCTGTCTGATGCATGATTAACCACTGGTCCACGCACCTGCCGCAAGGAGCACCAATTTGCTTCCATTTGCCCTCCCCTCGTGTTTCGTTCTGTCCCAGCTACTCACACTCCCCACAGACTCTCTCCCTCTGTCTGCCTGATCTCATCTCTATCCTTTACTCATCAGACACTCTTGTATTTTCTCTCTCTCTCTCTCTCTCTCTCTCTCTTTCTCTCCCTCTCTCACCCGCCCGCCTCTCCGACATCTGCCTGACAACAAGGCTCGATTCTCTATTTTCATTATTATGTTTTCTACTATATTATAACAGTGTAACAGTGGCACATTGTTGATAATGTATTTTACATTTTATAAGTTATTATTGCATTGTCACATTTTACAGTTTATGTGAACTGAATATATGCAATATTAATGCAAATCATACTCCTTCGATGAAAAGATTTTTTCTATTAAATTCATATGTTTCTGTCCCAGTGCAATGTTAAATACATTTTTATCACATTTTTGTACAGTTTACTCAACAACTCAGCAGTGTTGAAAATAAATAGCAACTTTTGAATGTTGTATTGTTTTTGCAATGTTGACTTATTGCATATCATGTTTTTCTCATGCTGCGCAGCCTTAGTCCTCAGATATGAATGTTGATAGGGGTTGTAAAAGTCAGACAGTGAATCTTCCATCCTAGAGACCGGTGATTGTGGATGATGAGACGTCATGACAGGAGACAGGGCTGGGTTAGTTTGTAGATAACAGCGCTGGTGGCCTTTTGCCTGGCAGCCGCTCCACTACAAATCAAATTCTTTATGCATGCAGACAGGAAGACTGGTAAACAGGCATTGGGTAAATGGCTTGTCTAGTCAAAGTAACGGATGGATCAATACAGAACAACATGAGATTTCATTTAGTCAAGGTAGCAGTAGATGTAATTCATATTCAGCCCTATTCGTCGACAACACCTTAAAGTCATTGCTTGTAAGTGTCAAAATTTAATTAAGGGAAAATATATATTGTGGTAATTTATTTGTGTAGTTTGTGTGTTTGTGTGGCAGCAGTTTTGTGTGCCCCGGCATCTCCTGAGGATAACCAGCCCTATATTTCCCATGAGTTTTACTGCACCTTCACTCTCAGTCTCAAGCAATTATGTCCTGTTTACACATACACTGCCCCCTTCTGGCTTGTGCGGGTAGGACAGCTCAACACAGCCCATTTGAATAATGGCCAACTGTTGTGTGATTGATGTGAATGTAAACCCTGGCTACATTGTGTTCAGCTTATCCATCACGTCTAATGGATCAGCCTGGCATTAACTTCTGATTGATAGGCTTCATCAGATGGGACCGGATATTGTACGTTTTACAGCTTGGTGAAGTTTGCAAGATTTATTGTATTGTTTTTTCACTGTGTACTTCAGGTGTGTCGGGAGTACCAGCGGGGGAACTGTACGCGGGGAGAGAATGACTGTCGCTTCGCTCACCCAGCAGACAGCACCATGATAGACACCAATGACAACACGGTCACTGTGTGTATGGACTACATTAAGGGCCGCTGCTCCAGGGAGAAGTGCAAGTACTTCCACCCTCCGGCTCACCTGCAGGCCAAGATCAAAGCCGCCCAGCACCAAGTCAACCAGGCTGCAGCTGCTGCTGCCATGGTGGGTATATGAAACTGCCAGAGTGTCAAATGTAGGACTTATGGGTATTATTTAATCTTAAAACAAGTATATATACATTCTGTAAAACTTTATTCACTAGACATATTGTATATTACATCATAAAAGTTGCATTAATGAGTAGAGTATTTGCAAACAATAACAGTAATTGGAAATGTTCCTAGTGCATGCAGTGATTGCCAATACAGAATTATGCAGAATGTCCTCCACACTCATTTACACTAACAAACACTTATTATGCATTTTATACCAAATCACTGAACTGCTGAAATGTTGACAATTACCATTATTAGATGCAAGACACTCTCCAGCTGTTTTATTAAGCGGGTTTCATGGTCTATTTGGAATTAACGTTTTACACTGTCGAATATTTTAACTTTTTAAGAGTAAATTTTTACAATTTCTTCAGCACAATCAGTAATATCTGCTATACAGCTTCTATTAGCTCTTAGATTATAAATCCAGATGTATTGACGGGCTTTCACTGTCAGAGCCGCATGCTGTAATGATAAGGCTGGTGTGTGATGCTTCCCTTTTTTATGACTTTGTGCTGGTGCTTTGTTAGCATTTGACTAGTTCATAATCAATAGGTCTATTGACTTTTTACTGTAAACAAATGAGTTTTTTCACTAATACAGATAAACCATAGATTCTTCACATTGTTGTAATCACACATAAACCATAGATTCTTCATGTTGTAACCACTCTAGACACCACAATAAAGATGACATTAAACTACTGTTATTCTGAGCAGGAGCATTAGGGACATTGATTTCATTTAACCTTTACAGATGAATCAGGCTTAAATCATTACAGGAAGCTAAATTGGAGCCATAATGATATCAAATGAACCATTGTCAAGCTTCACCTTTGCATTAGACTCTGTCAAACCTATTTGTATGCACGGACTAAAATCACAACAAATTCTTTTCCGCTTCAATATTTTATCATCATATTCATACTGTCAACTTATACTATAAACCTTCCCTTCAGTAGACCTACAGCCTCAAATGTGCATGCCTGTTATTGTTGTATATTGCATTCCAATGATTTGTTTTTTTATTTGTTTCTTTTTTGTTTGTTTTTTCCTCACCAACCCACACTGCACTGCTGTCCCATGGTGCACCTCTCCGCTTGCTGGTTTATGTTATTGCGCTTGAACCCCATTGGCCCATTGCCATCATGTGCTCGCTGCCTGCTAATTAAGAGTCAGTCGGCTGTCAAATCACCGAAGCGACCCCTCGACGCAACTCTAGACCTGGTACTTTGACCTTTCACCTTTTGGCTTGGCATGTTTACAGAGCCGATACTTGTAGATTGAGAGAGCTGAGGTGGACTGAGGGGTTGTGAACTGATTGGCAGCAAATAAATAGTTCTGTATAACAAACAGCAGTAAAAGCTATTGGCCATAATACAATAATACAACTCAGTTATCAGTTCATGACCTCAGGTGTAGCCTCACAGTGGCGTGTAAGTAGCATTGTTTCCATTTTAGTGCTGTTTGCATGATCTTCTCATGTTGCATGTTGGACTGTAAAATGTTGCAGCTTACCCTAACTACATCACTCTGTCTCACCAACACTACAATATACAAAAATGTTCTTATAACAATTGGAAATGATATGATAGCCTTAATGTGGTAGTCTGAGAATTGTTAAATGATACTTTGTCTAAGCTGTCAAAATATCAAGTACAACATAGCATAGAGTAGCCACTGCTTGCTTGCTGTTGTTTTTTTCAACTGTAATCAAAGGAATCTAAGGCTAACAAATGTCTCCTCTCCCCTCTCTCTCCTGAACATCTCTGGCACTACCGATGGATGTCTCTCCCCTCCTCAGGGGCTCCCTCCTGTTTTGCCTCCTTTACCAAAGAGACCTGCACTTGAAAAAGCCAATGGTGCCACCACTATGTTCAATGCTGGTGTGTTCCAGTACCAACAGGCCCTGGCCAACATGCAGTTTCAGCAGCAGGCTGCATTCATCCCATCAGGTAAGGACCAGGGGCGTCCTTTTTTTCCATCATTTATTGCCTGTACCTGAACATATGTTTTCACAAATGTATTTTATTTTGTTTGTTAATTGAAATTACACTGCATGTTGTATGTGATGTCATTGAGTGCACACACTCCTGGAAGACTATTTAGCCTTAGGAGCCAGTGATTTAGAAACAGTACAGACTTATTGACAAAGTATTGCACATTATAAACAATTTAAAGCAGGGTAGGTTTGTGATTTATCAGCCTCCGGGGTTTCTTCATTCAAATCAATTCCTTACATTTCCATAAAAGTAATTAAAGTATTTTTATGTGTCCACTCAACCATCAATTTTCAGAGTAAGATCTAAGGTGTGGTATAGTGCCCTCTGTGGGAGAGTTTGCAAATAGCAGCCCTGACTCATCAGGATACAATATCTACATTTTCTTTAAAAGGTTTACTTGTTTTTCAAGTAAAATATTCAGGGAATCCTGAAAACATCTCTTAAATTTAATAAAATTATCTTATAAAATGCAGATTTTTCCATAAAATCTATCTTATATTCTCCATATTTTCCTATAAACTCACATTTGCCAAACTCTAAAATCTGCACATTTTCTCTCACATATTTGGCCTATTTGAACTTGAAGTTTCTGGCGGCTGCATAGTCATCTTACACTGTCCCATATTCTCATCTGACACACTAAGAATAGCCTGCCATCGATTCCCTCCAGTGACAGATCTGGACACTCACACTGCATTTGTCAGGTCAAAGAAACTCACACTGAACATTTTGAAAGCAGGTCACTGAACACTGGCAAAGTGTAAAGACCAGCTGACAAGCAAATGGGACCAGACCTGTGTTACCCTATGACTTAAGAGAAGAAATAGTGTTAAACTGTAAAGTAGAGGTGAAGAGAGAACTTGATGATGAAGTTAATAAAAATATGTTACAGGAAGTAGGTCAGTAAAAAGGTCATTACAGATGACATAACATTTTGTATATTATTATATTTAAATTTTAACACAATAAATAAAAACATTTTTATTTACACAACTTAAACATTGTAATTGTGATAGGGAAGGCAGCACAATACTTATTTTTTTCAAAGCATGTCCAATTTGTGTTCAATGCGTTTTTGTTTTGTTGGTGAGACTAATTTGTTTTCCCCCCTTTTTTCTCTTCCCAATTCACTTCCTGTTGCAATGCATGATGGACAGGCTCGATATTGTGCATGACACCTGCAACAAGTGTTGGTAGGTGCCAGCTTTCCTTATCCTCTTTTCATTCAGCCCACTACAATAGTGAGCACTTCCACATTCACACAGTGACCTTGAAAAGTATTTCCATGCGACATCCAAGTCTATAACCGCTAAGTGCAAATTCAATTATTATTGTGGTGATATTACCTTGCCACAATTGTCTGTCACCTAATGCTTGTTGCAGTTTTAAATATATGCCTTCTTTGAGCCACTAACCTTCAAAGCACCTCGTTACAATGTCTGGCTTGGTGTCCCATATAAACATGAGGATTTGAAATAACCTCAATTATTCAATACGTAACAAGAAGACAATGCTTTGGACAAGGTCTGTCACAATAATAATAATATAATAATGTGATTTAAAGCCACTGATACTGTAACTCTGAAGAACAATATTGAAAGAACAGCAAATTAATGCATTAGTCTTATATAGCACTTTTCCAGACGCTCAGAGTTTACAATTCCGTGCATTATTCATTCACTTCATACTCGGTGGTAGTAAGCTACTATTTTAGCCACAGCTGCCCTGAAGCAGACTGACGGAAGTGTGGCTCTGTCAATCTGTGCCCAAGTGTTTTTCCTAAGGACACAACAGTGCCACTGTGGTACCAGGTATTACCAGTGGTCTCCCACTGCAAGTGCTAACCAGGCCTGGCCTTGTTTAGCTTCTGATGAGATCAGGCTTTGACATGGAGGTTTGGCCACAAAGGAAGTTTGGTCAAATTCAGGCTCACTTGGCAACTTTCCATGAAGATGTTCTTGCTTTGTCTTCTCCACAATAAGGCATTAATGTATCTATCATACAATTATAGGTGTTAAAATGCTAATAAAGAAGTCAAATTGAAAAATGTGTCTTCTTTCTGCGAGTGGGTTTCCTATAATTGGTTATTGGCCCATAATTGATAATGGGTTTAACGTTTAAAGCTACGCTGTGGAAAAGGCAATGTTCTAACCTCTCTATAGAGACCAGCAGAGGCAGACTCTCCACCAGAAAAGTACAGTGTGCTCCTTGAATATAGATAGTGCAATGAAACACAATGTCAAAAAAAATTTGTCCATATTGAACTGTTTATCTGTAATTTATTGAACAATAAGTTGATATACTAATTATTGTGACAGGCCTAAGTGGTACATTGTCTTGTTTGTATATTTCTTCTTATATATCATATATTATTTTCAGCTGATATTCTCATGTTTATTAGTATCCTCTAGGCAGGCATGAGATGAAGTGTGGTCATTGAAAGCTTTAAGTCTCCTCTGTGGTCTTTCCTCCAAGTTCCCCTGATGCACGGTGCTACTCCAGCCACTGTGTCTGCAGCCACCACATCTGCCACAAGTGTTCCCTTTGCAACTGCAACAGCCAATCAGGTTTGCCTCTCCTGCCTCCTCTCTCTTCGTACTTTGATCTGCGGCCTTGTCTTTGGCAATTAATTTTTTTTTTGTTCTTTTCATTTTGTTTCTCATCAGTGAAAAATGCATGCGCTACTTTAATATTTTAGGCAAACATTTTATAGTGACCAGGCAAGACTTTATGACAGCTGAGATGTTTTCCTCCTCTTTTACAGGTGGATGAAGTTAATCAGCAAGTGTAAATTTTCTTCGCAAAGATTTTATTACAAAATAAAGTCTATTAAAATTTGATTTGTATTAACTGTTGATTCTGGGTTGTCATAATATCATGCCTTGTCAGTTATTTGAAGATAAGTACATCTGAATTGATCTATCCCTATTTCACATTGTCTGTTTTTCTTTGTTCTTGTTTTCTCTCTTTCCTTCTCCTTCTTTTCACTCCAATCAGATTCCAATAATATCTGCAGACCATCTGACTAGTCACAAATATGTGACCCAGATGTAGGAGGATCAGAACAGTATGTACTGCGCCGCTTTTCACACTTGGACCATGTCTCCCAAAAGCGCACACACACTCCAACACAGCACTGTGGCACTGCATGAAATGACTTTATATGTCTACATCACACTCACATTTAAGTCTTTATATGGATATATGTTTCATAATATAACTAGTGAATGTATTTTTCAAATGTTTGCAGATGGAACTGGAGTGTGCTGGTGTGGAGTCGAAGATTAGCTGTCACACTCAATGCCTGTAACAAAGACAACACTTAAGCCAACCGGTGTCCGTTTGGTGTGGATCTGCATGTCGCCATAGGAGTCGAGGTTTTCTGGGACTGTTTCATGTGTATTTGATACACAGTGGTAGTACTAAGTGAAACTTCATTGACATCATGGACTGTCCTCTGTAGAGGCTCTTACCTTTATTCACCAGACACACTCTGAATGTCACTAAGAGGTACATGGGTGGCGTCCTGTGAAGGATGTGATTGTTACATTCATAGACAGAGAATCATCTTAATTTGTGTGACTCTTTTGGTTGTTGGTTGGTCTTTGACCTAAATGTGTCCATTTGTTTACACGAAGGTGCACCTTGTATTTGAGTTGAGATAGAAATGCTGAATAATATGACTGAACCACATATGCATGCACAATAGCAATTTTGTTAGGACTTTAGTTTCTTAAACAGTAATAAGGGAAGTGCACTCAGAGGAAATGTGTTTCTGAATGTGTGTGAGGTGTCTTTAAACCTTTGTAGCCTACCTTCTATCTCTGAAGCACATGTCTTTAAGCTTACAGGTCGGCCCTGTACAGTGCCATACATCTCCAACACACCAATAACATACAGTGGTCATGCAAAGTGTTCAACTTTTCCCTTTAATTCAGACCTCCTCTTATACAGATATGGTCATATAAAGGCTAGATCTCTTTGGATCTCAGTTTCATAATTGTTAATTGGATTCCTAAAACCGCTCACTTTGTTTATTGTCCTCATGCAAATATAAATTTATTCCAGACTTGAGTTTTACTTATATTTTAACAGAGATGGATGAATTAGTCCTCAAATAGATAGTGTATTAACTTTAAATCAAAAGTGTGGAAGTTATCACGAGAGAAAGTGTTTTGTCCAAACTGCTGTGACATGATGCAACTAATGTTATGTGAGTTTATTGTTTGTTTGGTAATATTATCTGAGCTAGATGAAATCTAGTGTATATTTAATAATATTTGTTTAAACCTGAAAACTGTTTTCCGATAGTCAGCCAAAGTCTTATTGTGTCACTGTTAATAGAGATATATATATAGGTATATTGGTGGATTTGAAGACAATGTGGTGGCATAGGTGGTTAGGATAGATCTCTAGGACTATTTGTTTTGTGTTCTGGGTGTTCTTCAGGCATACTCAATCAGTGGATAGTACAGGGAATGTGGCAAGAATCAAAAGACGATTGTAAAACCCATCCAAAGCCTTAGAATGTACCATCAAGTCAGCACAATGCAACATGCCATCTTGAACCATCCAGTTGCCTAACCCACGCCATAATAACAGAGCACTATGTAATGTCACTTTTTGTTCAATTCTCAACTTCTTCTTTAGTGTTTTATTTGAATGATATTTTGATATTTTGTTTGGAGTTGTTGTGTGTTTGCCTTATCTATTTATCTCTTACAATGAATATAAGGTAGTGCGTATTGTGTGTTCTCATGCACAGTTTCCTGAAATTCCATGTACTTCATTTTAGTATGATTGTAGACTCAGTATTTTGTATGTTATGCATATTGTTGAGCTGTATGCATATTGTTCATTTCTCAGTCTTTTGTGTTCCTTGAACAAAGATGTTTTATATAAGTATCTAACAGTGATGAATACTAGAGCAAAGAGGCTATGTTGTCACTGAGGCAACAGTTGCCAACTGAGTCATATTTTAATGATTGTAAGGTTTGTAACTAGTCATATATGAAAAAAATAATATTATAAAAATGTAATTCTTAGATGTTTAGAGTAAAATGTTATTTTCTACTGTATCCATTTCAGATAGTAAGTATTGTTTCAATATTTTTACTCTCCCTGGAAATTGGGCCATGTTGGAAAACAAGCTGCATATTTGATCACTTTTGGGGTTGTAGAGTGCAGTCTGTAAGGGCTGATGCAAACGGGTGGGGCAGACTCTGCAGGAGAGAGAGCTGATGAAGGGTGACTTTTTTGCACTTCTGTACATAGTCAAAAAAAGAGAGAATCATGTATATTGAGATCTTATTTTGAATAAAAAATTCTGTCTATAATGACAAGAAATTTTGCTAGGATAACAAAAAAAACCTTAAAGGCTGAACAAAAATGCTTGCATCAAAGGGCACTGAGTTGACACTCCTGATCCCTTTGTGAAAAGGCCAAGTGTTGCTCTTCTTTTTTGTCAGCAGCTTGTAGTTTGCCAGGTAACCTTTCCGGAGCGTAAGGGCCTGCCTGGGTCTGTCTGTAGGACCACGCCCCCAGGCCCGACCAATCACAACACGTCCTGTCTTTACTTTTCTCAGAGGGGAATGCATGTTGAAGCAGATACATATACCGTTTAAGATCACCACACAGTACTATTGAATAAGAAAACATGTTACACAGAAAGATGTATTTACACTATACAATATCCTATCAATGTAATGGAATAAAAATATGTATATGAAAATAAAATAGAATAGTGGTTTATTTAAAAAAGACATCTGAGAATATACTCACTAAGGTCTCACTTCTTGGAGAGTTGAAATCCATGCAACACAAGAACCATAGCTATAGTATGTTCTTTCTGTTTGTAAGCTGTGCTTTTAGTAGATGAATCTGACCAGACTGAATCATATATTTTCTGTCAACATCCCGCACAGGTAAAAATGTAAAACTCAAATTCTGTTTAGTAGTTTGGCCACTGGTTTGAAAGCCATCTCTGCCATCTCTCCAGACCCTCATCTCCTACAAGCACGCATGCTTACCTTTATGATATGATGTGAACTGAAGTTTTGATTTCCTTTTTTCTTTGTCGGTTGTTTTCTCAGCTTATAGTGCTAAGATGATGTATTCTGTCTTGCTGCAGTTTGTTTCTGCTTGTTTTACTGTGCCAGGCCCCTGGAAGATGTGTCACGGCAGCCACCTCCTATTGAAAAAGCACCTGTAGAAACTTGACCTGCCGAGCGCTACAGTCTAAAGCCATACTACTTACACTCATGGGAGGAAATGTCCGAGAGCTGGGGACAGAGGTGGGGCTGATGTCTGGATAATATGTGCTTTCTTCAGACTAATGTCCTTGACACATTTTCACACTGGGCCTGTGCTGCTATATTTAATTCTTGCTGTAATGATGAAAAATATAATAAAAAAAATCTAATTGATCTGAAATTACTTGAGGGTATGTTTCATTTTTTAAAAACAATTGTGGCCATTGTTTTGTTTGATCATTTTAGCTATTTTGGAATTGACTAGATGAATAATCACATTATTATACAGTAAATATACTATTACAAAGCATAGACAATACAATACAAATGCAACTTTTTTTTTTTTTTTTTACTTTACTTTACTTAGATATTCATGACTAACTTTAAAAAAGGTGCCAATCTGTTTATAAATGCCAAAATTATGTATGTTTTATGATGATGGTACACAGTTGGTAAATAGTGTAATGTCACAAAGCCAGACAAATATTTACCCATTTTAAGGTAGTGTGTTCACATTACAACCACCAGAGGGCACCAATATATAACAATATAGACTCTTTTTCCGTTCCAAAGTGGGCCTGATTGCCAGTAAACAACAGAGCGACTTGAGCAGAAATGTAATTTTAGTTCTGACTTAAATTTTAATTCTATATGTCAAATGACTTTCAAACAATTATCTCTCGACTGTAGTTAGCTAGAATGTTGCTCGGTTTAAAATCGCCATGTTTACAAGTGAGATTACCCAGGATGCTCCTCGCCTTAATTATTTTCTCACTGCTTAGTTGAAAACATTACATGAGATAGCAACAGTTTAGTTTTGTTTTATAATCGGATTTATTTATTTTTTTATTTTATTTTATTTTTTTGGATCCATCTGTTTTTATGGAATCTTAACTTTGTTCTTCTACTTTCATGTCTCGAGGCTCTGGTGGCAGATTGGGTCCTGTGGAGACGTAATGAAGCGGTACTGATCCAGTCTTTTTCACTTTTCAAAGGCTTCGGTGGACAAGAAGACAAGAAAACCAAAATGTGTTATCAATATCACTTTGATGCAATTAGACCAAGCCCAGAATATCAAAGATGGGGTTATTGTTAAGTCTTTTATTTGCACAATGACCGTGTGGTGAGCGCTCAGCCATAAGCGTCCATTAATACATAACAAACGCCGTTTAATGAGTGACTTCTCGAAGGATGATTGCAGTGCAGAGAAATCCAATTTTGGACTTGAGACTTCTATTTGTGTGTATGAGATATGGCTAGCGGGCATACAAATTAGAGGCATACTTGATAAGCTGTTGAAGTGTATTGCCCATTTTATGATATAAAAGCAATAATGAGAGAGAGAGAGACAGAGAGAGAGATGCTGAGTCAATAAGCGGTATATCGTCTCAAATGGCCTTCATCCTGAGCCTGCATATAGCCTACTCACCAATCAAAATTGCTTCTTTTAAAGTACTTAGTGGTTTTACAGTAAATTCACTCATATTGTAATTTGCTCCCTGCTTTCCTGTGCAAGTAAGAAAAATATAGACCATGGTGGATCATTTTTACTATATGTTGTAATGTTAACAACAACAAAACTCCACCACACAAATAAATGAATAAATTGGCTGGAAGTGTACAATGTTACAGGTGCACATTCCCCTACTGTCATCTGATGGAGGATCAAGCAGTCAAGCAAGTACCACAGGCCGAGCACGCCACCAGGCAGAGTTACAGATCAGATCTTTGGAGAGGCAACCTTGTTTAGTCTTACACATTTTTAGCAATAAAATATAAATTCAAGATATTTGTAAATTTTACATCATACTGTGGAACATTCTAGACCAATCAATATCAATAGTGCACCATTAAGATCCCTTTATTGAGTATTTCATGGTTTACTACATGTTTTATTATAAGGATTTGCTATAGGATTTGCAGATTAAATCAATGAACCCCGGCTAAATAATCATGTTCAAGGATTTCTCAATCTATTTGGAGTTTTGCATCGACAGACGTTAGACCTTGATGATTACAAATGTAATTGTGATAGAGCATGTTTCAATAGCTTGTTTGAAAATGCCTTTAGTGCTGAGAGCTGAATCACTAAAGTATCTCCTGAGCACCCTTTGGAGTGCTCTTTCTCATTGCCTTAAAAGTGAGTGTGGTTATGTTTGTGATTACAGGAAGTGGATTTTCATGTGTTAGCGCCCCAGCCTGCAGTAAGTGCTGCTGATGGAGTAAAGCAGCAAGTTCGACTCATCACATTGTTCCTGGAAAAATTATTGATCATATGGAATGGAAAATCATCCATTTACATGCATCAGCAGTGTTTGTGTTGTATTTGGGATTGGCCATTTGGTTTATGGGGTGATAAGACATCTTTTATAAGACACCAGAACTAATCTTCTTAGTGTCATAACTCTTTAATGAACTTCGACATTGCAGCCTGCAATCTGCTCTGTAGTGGACAATCTCTTCCGTCTCAAATAGAATCTATAAAAATGTGATGTTTGTTTGGTCAGACCATCTGGTCTGCAGTCAAGTGTGAAGCAGGTGGGATTAGAATCAGCTACTCCAAACCTGAGGCCAGGGTGCTGCTCTGGGAGAGGGTGGCCTCACCACCTCCTCCCACCCCCTCCCGGCTGTAGAGCTGACAGGTGGATCAATGCATTGTCTGTAGTGATGTGGTCCATGTATCAGTCTGGTGTGGTGAAGAAGGAGCAGAGCTGAAGACTTCTCTCTCTGTAAGAAGGGAGGTAACCCACCACACCCATATGTCTCAATTTACCTCAAGTCATGCTCATCTTATACATCCATAATATTGATTAGATTGCTAGTTAATTTATTTATAGTTTTCTGGTGGACTAGTTATGACGTGTCCACTTCAGGTGTTGACTGACCTTTATCAGCACTAAACAGTTTATCGTTAACAGTCCAATGAGATTCATTTGGTCTTCCAATATTCTATGTTATTAGGTTCTTTTTTTCAGACCTAGAGTGTTATTTCATACCTGACAGTTTCAACTGCTCACTAGCGTCTTCCTCAGAGTGGTCACGTGATGTTGCTGTGACGTGTCCAGTCAGCTGATTTAAACAGGTTTTGGCGCTGTCTTCCTACCGGTGGAGGCAGGACGACAGCGCCATCTGCAGTCCGACTTCCTCAGGACAGCATGAATGTAATGTAATATACGAAATACCCTGCATGTCCTACAATAAAAACATACATCGGGGAAACGGAGGGCGTTCAGTACACGAAAAAAGGAACATAGAACAGAATGCGAGAAGGAAACAGCGAAAGCGTGCACACGAGCAACAAAACACAAAGCAGAACAGGAACAACTCAAATCGGCCATTTCTGACCATTGCAAAAGAGAGAACCACGTTATGGATTGGGATGGAGCAAACATCATTGGGACAGAGGAAAACAAACATCGCCGCTGGATTAAAGAAGCAATCGAAATAAGGAAACGTGCCCACAGGACTGTAAACCGGGACGAGGGTGCTTTTTTACTTTCACACACCTGGGATGCTGTCCTGAGGAAGTCGGACTGCAGATGGCGCTGTCGTCCTGCCTCCACCGGTAGGAAGACAGCGCCAAAACCTGTTTAAATCAGCTGACTGGACACGTCACAGCAACATCACGAGACCACTCTGAGGAAGACGCTAGTGAGCAGTCGAAACTGTCAGGTATGAAATAACACTCTAGGTCTGAAAAAAAGAACCTAATAACATAGTTTATCGTTAACTGTCATCATTTTAACCATATCATTATTTGTTTGGAACTGGCTCCTTAAACTTGTCATATTGATTGTATTTCCTTTTTAACTGACAATCACATTTAGTGCTGACACCCCTTTTTGAAGCCAAAGTGAACAAAAAATCACTTTTATTTACGTATTTATGCTGAGCAAAAAACATACACTGACTTACTTTTGTTTCATGTGAGTAGACCCAGTAATTACAGAGATATTAACCATAAACCAAGTCAACAAATCTGCAGTCTGATAATTCAAACAGCTAATTCTACACAATTCTGACCTGTTAGCTTTTTTAATTTTAAACATAGGCATTTTATGGTATGATGTAGCCTGAATGCAACCTATTGTCAAAGGCACCACAACGTTCAGTGCTGTTTACCACTTGGAACAAAGCATCCCATTAACATTCCATTAGTGTTAATGAAGTTAGTGAATGATGCACAGCCACAGCCCTAAAAGGCACCACTTTATGCCCCTCCTTGGGCAGTATACATTACACTGACACTGCCATGATGTGTCTCTCAGGAAACATGCAAACTAAAATCATGTCTGTGCGCTGGACCAAATGGCGGTGTGGTGCAAAATTATATGGTGAGACAATTGTGAAATAATTTTCCCAAATGATTTTTTTTTACTACAGAGGAGCTGTTTGCAGACAGATAAAGGCATGAAAATCAGATCAGAGGGAAGAGACAGAGGGAGATTCCAAAGTGCACAAGAGCCCAGAGGAAAAAGTCTGCAGAGAAACTGTGTTGTATGGAGCAGCTGTGCAGAGGCAAAACCTCATCTCTGTGACATGTGTGCACGATGTGGTGAGTAAAGACGTATCCAGAGCAGAATCACCTTGAGACAAGCGGTGATGAGAAGGGAAGGGCATCCTTAAGTGCTCAAAGATAAACGATCCACACGACACAAAAAAAGTGCACGTTAGGCCATGTGTATCAGTATGCTCAACATGTGTCTAAAGAGCAGACAGAGCATAGGCTGGCTGATGTGGAGGGTGTGACGAGACAGAAATCCCATGAGGCGGTACAAGATGTAATATTTTGTCTATTTAAACAAGAAATAACAAGATTTAGACATAAAACGTTTTGATCCTATGTGCTTATTATCAAGAGTTAAGGATTATTTTCACTATGACTAATATCACTATTATTTGATTATTATCACTCTCGGGGAACAGTAATCTTGGCATAGTGGTATTTTAATCTTCTGAGATCTTGTGGCACATTCCTATTCTGTTTGTGTGTGTGTGCGTGTGGGTGTGTGGGTGTGCGTGTGTGTGTTTACATGTACGTGTGTGTGCATGGATCATACAAAATTTATGTGGACCTCCATTATAAGGACAAAAATGAGGTCCCCATGACATAACTCCTTTATTATTAGATCAACATCACGGTTATTGGTTAAAATAGGTT